ATTTATTTCAGTACCTGAAATAAATTTTTCCAAGTAGAAGGCCCTTCCCCTGCGACGCTTTTTCCCCTACAGGAAGTCGAGTTTGCTCGTGGGTGTACAACGTAAGCTGCTTCGACCGTTTGAAAGACAGTTGCAACGTATTTCTGGCGCGTGTTGTACGCAGAATTGGGGACAATTTCATTCGAATAATACATAGTGCAAAACTGCAGTATCTAAGGGCATTATTCTGAGCTTTAAACAGTTAAATAGATTAAATAATTGTTTGCCAAATCGTCGTTCTAGGTCTTAATTGTTCTAAACTGAGAAAACTGAGTTTGAACCTTACGAAGTTTAATATTATAGAAGCAGGAAAGTAGTGAAATAATCAAACACACTATAATATCATCTACTGCATAGCTACTTATCACAATATTTAGCACAATTTTATCTCATTATCAAAATAAATTTTGAATTGTTGTTAATATTTGGAGGTACAACCATTAAGAGAAAAAAAAACTTTCAAAGTTTCGAAGTTAGGACTTAAAAGAATATTTGTTGTTTACTGGGTTGAATTTTCTTTATAGTAACTAAACTTAATATAACTAAATTTTGTTGAAAAATGGAGGTAGAACAATTAAGAACTCAGGCGACGAAACGTCGACTCATGCAAGAATCATTTTATTATAAAAACTGGAATTTCCACATTTAAACGATTAAAAATAACGAAGTACTTTTTTTATTTTCTATTCATTATTCAAGACTCTTTAGATAATGAATTCGCCCATCTCTGGTTGTACGATATGCTAAAAATCTGTCGATTTGTCTTTGCAACTGTGTCTGTACGGTTTGTCGTACAAATTTGAAGTACGATAAATCGCATCGTCTGTGGGTCGTTAAACGCGTCACGGCGGTTCCGGTTTCTTTTCGAGCGTCAGGCATACATATGTGTCGAAAACATATGCGTCAGGACCCACGTACACGTAAACGCGCGCGTCAGTAGCATTGAGGATACAGTTGTCGTCGCCTGTCCGGTCGACTGTTTCGGGCAACACGTGTCCTGGCGTCGATGTGAACGGAACGGATGTAAAAATACATTTTCTTTGAAGTGCACGGAAGTATGAAAGGAAACGGGCAAAGGCGTGAATAAGACGCTCAGCCACCCACCCCGCCGTTACGACCGACACGTTTAAAATAAAACGCGCGACACAACGTTGCAGATCCGTGATCTAGAACAATTGGTCTTGTAACGAGAATACGGTCGGTTTCGAAAATACTCGGCCACCTCATGGAGCCTGAGGAATTCCACTGATTCACTTCGATCGGGTTGTTGATCGTGGAGTGGTAAACTGTTTGTTTAGCAGGACGATAAATCATTGGTTATTTTGATGGCTTTTTTTTCGTTTATTTATCTAAAAATTTTACACACAAGCCGCCAATTTTTAAAGTACACCGTTAACTTAAAGTAAAATATTATTGTGGAAACATGTATTTGTCAGAAGAGTTTTCGAAGAATCAACTCGAAAGCTAACACTAGAATCTACCGACAATAAACTCATATCTATTTCGATCGGTTGATAAACATGACGAACTTTTGAAAATTTACAAATTTATAAATTAACTAATTTCTTCATTTCGATATCGTAATGAAAGTTGCAGAAGATCTGGGAAAATGTATTGTTATAACATTTTAATCGTCGTTACAAGAATG